CCCCGCCCCCAGCACAAAATAAATGAAAGAAAAAGGGGTCGAAACAGCTACAAAGCAGCTGGAGTAAGAGGATCAACCTGAAGCGCACAGAGCTTGGGGAGCGCTAAAGATAAGGAAAATACAGTCCTCTCCGAAGCAGCTGTATGAGCCAAAAGAAAATTGCTGGCATCTTTAAAGCATTATTAGGACGAAGCTGCAATAAACACCTGTCCAGATAGAATGCCTAGAAAGAAATACCTCTCCACAAATGAGAACAAAGATTTTCAGGGAAGCAAAAACTAGGGAAACACACTCATTCAGATAAAAGAATATCTTTAGACAGAAAATGATAAAGGAAATAGAATAAAGTTTGTCAGGAACGGTCCACATTAGCACTACTGTAATAATTATTGCTCGTAATTTCTAAGGCTTTTTATTTTATTTATTTATTTATTTTAATTTTATTTATTTATTCATTTACTTATTTATTTTGTGTGTGTGTGGCCAGCTCAACCCACCAGGGGGCGGGGCTGGTTGGCATGTGGTGCTGGGGGATTGAACCGCGGTCCCTGCTTAGCTTGTTCTAAGTAGGTGCTTTAGACCACTGAGCCATCTCACCAGCCCATCTAAGGCTTTTTAGAAAGATGATCGACTGCTTAAATGAAGATATATCACAGGATTTATAATTCGCGGGAAGTAAAATGTACGGGAACCACAGAGCAGCAGTCGGGAAGTGAGGGGAGTATGCACCTTCGCGCGGGAAGTGGGATCCTAGGATTCCAAGGCGTAGTGACAACCCAGGAATGCAAACTGTACCGACCTAAGAAGTGTGAACCAACGTTAAACAGAAGAAATAGAAACAAAATCACACCAAGGTACGCACTGAAAAGAAAAAGAGGATAAAAGATGTACTAAATTCAGAGCTACTTTCCCCAAAGCAAAAGCAGAATGATATATTTAATAAACTAATACTAGAGATAGAAAGAAAATTTCTTATTTATCCAAAAGAAGCCTAGAAATCGGGGAATCAATAGGAGGGAAAGTGAAACAAAACAAATAGCAAGATTTAAAGCAACCATGTAAAAAATTGCCTCAAACATGAATATTTTAAAGATTTCAACTACAATAGAGATCGCGAGGGTAGATTAAAAAAATAATACAACTACAGAACGTTTATTGCAGAAATATACTTTATTATTAATATTTATTTATTTATTTTGTGGAACCAGGGATTGAA